ATTATAGTTTGCGATATAAAAAATCAATATTCAAAATTTTGTATTGTCTTATTATATAGTAAACAATAGAATCATACTGATAAGAAATAGTCAAAGACTTTTTTCATGAAAATGTTCAAAAAAAAATTCAATTCTTTTAAATATTTTGATTTTTAATAATGTATAATTCAACCTTTTATAGTTTCTTATATTTAATATTTTTAATAATTAATTTTGTGTCATACTTTATGATAACATTGTACATTATACATATGTGCCCACAAATATGTATTTTAATCTAACAATCTCCCACTAGGGCAACATATGTTTCCTGACAAATGTACAACCTTAAGAGCTAAAAATTTGCTATCATGGAGTGTCGCATAGAAATTACATGCAATGTGAACAACACATGTCTATTTCCAATTGGTCCAATTTAAACCTTAGTGAGATAAATTTTTACCAAAACTAAAGTGTGGATAAACCAAAACAAACTTTATTTATGCATAAAATAACTTTAGATAAATATCCTTAAATTGAAGTAACATAAATTGTGTTTATAATAAATGATAATTAATATTACAAACTCCCACTAAAACCGAATATCCTTAAATGATATTACACTCACATGAATAGTGTGCTCATAAAATACCCTGAGTGAAAATTCTTTAGTAAGCGCACAATTATGAGTTTGTATCAACATGCTCTATAAACACATAATCACTCTGAATTTTCTTTAACAAACACAAACATAATGTCTATTTTCTTAGACTTAAGGTGTTTTTGTTATATATGGAACAAAAGACTACAACTTAGTTGTCACAAAATAACTAAAGTGACCTTTCTTATTAATCCATAATTAGCAGTTCATGTGACAAAATTTTGCATCCATATTCCAATTAGTCGGAGTCCATAAATCTGATGGTCTTTTACTTACTAGACCTCTGATATGTGAGCATATAACATTTTTGTTCATAAATGTATTGTACGAATCAATTTGGTTGTTGTCCAATGATCCATACCCAAATTGCTTAAATATCTACTTAATATCCTAAACTCATACGCTATGTCTGAATGCGTATAAACCTGAGTATTCATTAAATTCTTTATTTATTTTAAAGCATAAGGAACTTTTTACATTTCCTTAGTTTCAAAATCATCCTTAAGGCACTGATCAAGACTAAACTTGTTTCCTTTAGCAATAAAGGGTATTATTTGGTTTACTCTCACTGAACTTATAATATATACAATTATAAACCAAATTCATCTCAAAACCAAATGAGATAATCACTTGGTGAAATTTTTTATACAATTAATGGGATTAATACTTAACTTATAAATGAATTTCCTTAATTTTCATATCATTAGTTTTTTTTATCATTTGACACAATTATCTTACTGCACCGTATAAAACATTTCATCAATGTTATCATTGAGAAAAAAAATTAAAATCCAACTTATGTAACTTAAAGTCAAATTTGAGCAACAAGTATCATAATTATCCAGAAAGAGTCTTTCAATGAAACCAAAGGGAAAGTCTCTATAAAGGTAATGCTTCTTTCTGAGTATATCCTTTTATGTACAAGATATGCCTTATACATATCAACATCACCATTTGCATACATCTTTATTATAAATATTCATTTATATCCAATCAGCTTTACACCTTCAGGTAATGAGATAATTCCTCAAATTTTATTATCTTGTATAGAACTTATACTCTTCTTACTTGACATTAATCTACTTCTGAGAGTTACAACTTTTATGACATGAAGAAAGTTAATTAGATCATCTATCATCATTCTACTGTCATCCTTATTTCTTGAAGAAATATAACTTAATAATCTAAATATGATTTCTCTCATCTCGTGGATCTTGTTAATGATACTTGTTCTTTGAGGTTGTTGAGTTTGTTCTTCCGTAACAATTTCTCATCTTAATGGAGAGTTGTTCAAAATAATCTTGTTAAGATTCTAGATTCCCTTCTTAATAATTTTTGTTCATAAATGTATTGTATGAATCATTTTGGTTGTTGTCCAATGATCCATACTAAATTGCTTAAATATCTACTTAATATCCTAAACTCATACGCTATGTCTGAATGCATATAAACATGATTATGCATTAAATTCTTTATTTATTTTGAAGCATAAGGAACCTTTTACATTTCCTTAGTTTCAAAATCATCCTTAAGGCATTGATCAAGACTAAACTTGTCTCCTTTAGCAATAAAGGGTATTATTTTGTTTACTCCCACTGAACTTATAATATATACAATTATAAACCAAATTCATCTCAAAACCAAATGAGATAATCACTTGGTGAGATTTTTTATACAATTAATGGGATTAATACTTAACTTATAAATGAATTTCCTTAATTTGCATATCATTATTTTTTTTATCATTTGACACAATTATTTGACTGCACTGTATAAAATATTTCATCAATGTTATCATTGAGAAAAAAAATTAAAATCCAACTTATGTAACTTAAAGTCAAATTTGAGCAACAAGTATCATAATTATCCAGAAAGAGTCTTTCAATGAAACTAAAGGGAAAGTCTCTATAAAGGTAATGCTTCTTTCTGAGTATATCCTTTTATGTACAAGATATGCCTTATACATATCAACATCACCATTTGCATACATCTTTATTATAAATATTCATTTATATCCAATCAGCTTTACACCTTCAGGTAATGAGATAATTCCTCAAACTTTACTATCTTGTATAGAACTTATACTCTTCTTACTTTACATTAATCTACTTCTGAGAGTCATAACTTTTATGACATGAAGAAAGTTAATTAGATCATCTATTATCTTTCTATTGTCATCCTTATTTCTTGAAGAAATATAACATAATAATCTAAATATGATTTCTCTCATCTCGTGGATCTTCTTAACGATACTTGTTCTTTGAGGTTCTTGAGTTTGTTCTTCCGTAACAATTTCTCATCTTAATGGAGAGTTGTTCAAAATAATCTTGTTAAGATTCTAGATTCCCTTCTTGATTAACAACATGTATGTACACATGGATATCATCAAAAGTGATAATAGTAATTGAGTTATAATCCAATTCCTCCTCAAAAATCAATTCCTTAAACCTTATTTCTCCCTCCAAACTCAATATCCTAAAAAATAATGTTATAGATCTCATTTTCAAAAATATTCCTAAATATGAGATCATAAAACTTATAACCTCTGGATCACTTAGAATAACCAAAGTAGTTGCTTATTGTTTTAGAATTCAATTTCTCTTCATATATCCTAACTTATCTCAAAAGAGAAAAACCATTTTGCAACATATTATTGTCTCTTTTGAGTTAGACCCTTAACAACTACATATTGATTTTATTTTCACCCTTATCATTATATGCGCTTTTCAAATGAGTACTTTAAAACTTATTATGCTTCAACGTTTCTTCCTCTTGCATATAATAAAAAAATGAGCTCATTTAGGGTTCATTTCTCCCTTTGAGTTGACTAAACTCTATAAGAAGCGATACTGAATTTACAAAAACAAATAATTCTTTAGAAAAAATTTGATCTTAAGTATATTAAGTCTTGAAGCAGTATAAAACATATTCATAATGCACTCACTCACATTTGCTCGACCATTATACTTTATAGACGTCAAAAAAGTCAAAACTGATTTCATTTAAACTTTATTTTTTTTTGAAAAAACATTTCTTAATTTCGTTAAGGAAACTATCGGCCTAAGTAATCTTTTCAAATTTTGTGCCCCAAAAGGATTCAAAAAAATAGTGTTGTGCTTCATGACCAATAAACTCATGCAATTTGAACAAATTTCACCTCTAAAAATCCTTTATACCAATTAAAAAGTTATAATCCATGCACTACAGCAAAATAGGTATATAGCGGCGTTTGTCGCGGCGTTTTCAAAGAAAATGTCACTAAATTTATACATATCGCGGCGTTTATATCCAAAACGTCACTAAATTATAACATTAACGGCGTTTCTCAACAAACACCGCTAAAACTCGTACTTTCGTTACGTTTATTTGAAAAACACCGCTAAAGATCAGTACTTTAGTGATGTTTGTAAACAAACGCCGCCATAGAATCGTTCTTTAGTGGCGTTTTTAAACAAACGCCGCAATAGGGTACATATATCGTGGCATTTTTAGACAAATGCCACTAAAACCTAGTACTTTAGTGGCATTTTTCAATAAACGCCGCTAAAACACAATACTTTAATGGCGTTTTAGGCAAACATGTCGTTAAATACTCATACTTTAGTTACTTTTTTTTAATAAACGCGGAAATTTATCAGTACACTAGTGATGTTTCTATTTACAAACGCGGCAAATTTACAGTTTCTAAGTCCCACCCCATTAACCTTTTTCATTTTTTCCATTCATCTATTTTTTCATTCTCACCGTTTACCCAAACCCAGCTGCTGCTAGTTGCCGAAGAGTGCTTCATCTCAGTTTCTCCCATGTTCCCATAGTCAACGCTCTCTCGCAAAACCAAATCTCTTTTCTCATTTGACGATCGAAAGTTTTCGAATTGTTTTCTGTGTTTTCTCTCCTCTGTTAATCACCCAACATCATTTCCTTCTCCACGTTTTACAGGTTTGTCTGTTTATCTGGGCTTTTTTTCATTCCAACAATCGTGATTTCTGGAATACCCATTTGAAATATCTCTTGAACCCAGCGGTTTGATGGATTAACAGTTCAATTTCTCTTTGTTAAGTTGAAAATTTTGGTTGTTTTGTACCAATTATGGTTCACTGGTAGTGTTTACAAACGGGGCCATGCGTTAATAACACCAGACAATCATGTTAATAACACTGAGAGCATACTTAATCACACTGGAAATGGGTTCGTGATGTATCTTTTTGCTTGCATAGAATTTTTTAATTCTTTTAAGAAAACTAAATTAGGGTTTCACCCGATTCTATGTTTATGGTTAAGGGATGAATATGATAAGTTTTTTAAAACTCTTGATGTCTCCTGCAGTGATTATTTGTTAGAAAAGATGAAAGTAAATTGGGTCCATTTCATGCGTGGAACATAACAGGAACTTATCGAGGTTAGTAAATTTTCTCAAATTCTACCTTATGCATATTGGAGTTGATGCACGTTAGTATTTTTCTGGATTGTGTTGCATATAGCTGATGTAGCATGCGGTTTTGTGGTTGATTGCTTATGTTGTTTTCTCAGCATCTTCTTTTTATTTCCCTGGGCTTTGTATTTTTTTTTCTATCACTTCGGTTGGTCATGATTGGACAATGAATTTACTGGAAAATATTGCTAAATATATCTTTTGCCAAAGGTTCAAACCCCACACTCCATGAACACTCAAAGTAAAACAGAAATGCAAATTTGTTGACCAAAATAGATACTTCGTGTCAATTTGTTCTGGATGTAAAGACGGTTGTATTTGGATGGTATGTGAATCAGAAGTTGTTTTAACCTAGAACAGGTTCTGATATTAAGAAAGAAAAGAAGACTACTTATTTAAGAGGGAAACTAACAAATTGTCTAGGTTCTAAAAGGTAATTTTTCTGATATTTTTGGTTTATCACTGTAATTGAATGGATCAAATTCAATCGTTGAATTCATTAAGCTAATTTATTTGTGTTGACATTTTTTGTTCGAATGAGTTGGAAATTGCAGGAAATTGGAAATTTATGGAATCTATGAATAGCTCTTCCAAATTTCCCGATTTCAGGAAATCAGCTGGTGATTCAATCATTGAATTAGTTTGCACACCAACCAAAATAACTGGTGTACATTATGTTCAGGTAAGGGTGCTCTTGATCATATTAAGAAATTTCACTCTTATTTTGCTTGTTTAGTGAACCTGTTAGGACAATTGAACTGTGTTTAAGATGCAAAATATTACATGTTTTCTCATAGTTGGCCTGAAGAATGAAGACAAGTTTTGATTGTTGCTGATAAGGAATTCCATGACACTCATGATAGACTGGCTATCTTATTGAGTTTGATTTTCTTACATACTCTTTAGATTTTTTGCCTACATAATACATATATATTCCATTCTTTGTAGTAAGCTCTTTAGTTTGATCTTCTAACTACTGTAGGCTGTATCATACCAATTTTTAATTACTGTCTGACTTTGTTTCTGATTTGTGGTGATCATAACAGGGTGTAATTATTTTCCATGATGTGTTTGATAACAAACACAATGTTGGTGGTGCTCAAATAAGGGTAGAGGGTGTATATATATGGCCTTTTAGACAGCTTCGAATGGTAGCTAACAGGTAAATCTTGACTACGTTTATTGCTCAGTAAAAGTTCTTCCAGCTTGATTGGATATTGCTTGACTAAGAAATGCATATTAGTTGACCAGCTGGCAGCTGCAACCATAGGGTGCAGATAAAAGTATTCGAAACCGTCATTACCTACTTTTTAGTGATTCTATTTGACTCGGGAAACTTTTGGGAGAAGTGGGAACTGGGAAGTGGGGGAGGGGTCAGAATTCAAATCAAACCAATTAGGGTTCACTGGTAGTGTTTACAAACGGGACCATGCGTTAATAACACCAGACAGTCATGTTAATAACACTGGGAGCATACTTAATCACACTGGAAATGGGTTCGTGATGTATCTGGCAAAATGCTGCATAGGAGTTTCGACCTTCCTTCTTTTTGCTTGCATAGAATTCTTTAATTCTTTTAAGAAAACTAACTTAGGGGTTTACCCGATTCTATGTTTATGGTTAAGGGATGAATATGATAAGAATATGAAATGAAATGTTTGTTGTTTCTTCTCTGCCGTTCTTCATTTCTTCTAATGTTACTAGTATGTTCCTCTGATGCTGCCGTTTTCAATCACTTGTTTTGGTATTTGTTAAGTCATTTTGGTTCAGAATCAAAAGGCTAGTATTGTAGGAAAGGAATTAGATTAGACTTGCTTTAGTTTATAACCGATATGTGTTTGATTCGTGTTAATCGGTTTAATATGTTTCTTGAGACTAACTCATTTCCCTCTCTTATGATGCCAGACAAAGAGAACCAAGAAGGCTGGAATTGTTGGAAAATATGGTAAGGATATTTTATGACATCTTACTTTCTTTTTCTTTAAGATAGCTTCTAAGCAGAAAGTATCCATAGTATAGAATGATCAATTCTATTGAATGTCTCTGTTATTTGACTGTGCTTGAAATTACTACCATTCCGAATTTTCCCCCTAATTACATTGTTGCTTTTATTCATTCTAATTGACTTGGGTTAGTCAGATTTAATATCTTTTGTCCATTAGTTTCTAATTTCTTGTTTTCCTTCATGATAAAGGTTCCTGCTATGGTGCTAGTTTGAGGAAGCAGATTAAGAAGATGGATGTTAGTCAACACAGCAAGTACTTCTGTGAGTTCTGTGGAAAGGTGGATGCTTCTGATTTTCCATTTTATTTTATTTCTGAGGCCCTTTTTTGCCTATATTTTGGTGCATTTGTTCTAATAAACTCTATTTTCACAGTATGCTGTGAAAAGAAAAGCTGTCGGAATATGGGGCCGCAAGGATTGCGGGAAAGTCAAACCGGTGGTGCATATACCATGAAGTAAGGATCCATGTTGTACTCCCTTTACATTTCAAATTCTTTTCTTTGGAATTTGGATGCCCGAGTAACTTACATGTTGTTGCGTTTGTTAATTTAACACGACTGCCAGTGCTGTGACTGTGAGGAGTGCGATTAGGAGGCTGAGGGAGCAAACTGAGAGCTGAGCCACCGTCCACGAAGGAGCAATGAAAACTAAATTCTAGTGAACAATATTTTTTTAATTGAAAGTGAAAGAACCTAGATTAAATTCTAGAGAACAATGTCAAACTACGTTACATTTAATTTTAATGTTTATAAATTTTAATTTATTTTGTTGTTAATTATTTTTCTACATAACTTGTGTCTTAATTAAATAAAGCTACATTATATTAAATTTAGGTGATGTAAAGCATAAATGAAATATGAAAAATCAATTAATTTTAGCTAAAGAAAGGTATTTAGCGGCGTATAAATAAAAAAGATGCCGCTATAGATCAGACTTTTTGCGGCGTTTGTTCCAAAATCGCCGCTATAGATCTGACCTTTTGCGGCGTTTATAGATCTTGACCTTTCGCGGCGTTTTTGGAAGATCTCGACCTTTTTCGGAGTTTGTTCCAAAAACGCCGCTATAGATATCGACCTTTTGTGGCGTTTGTTCAAAAAACGACGCTATAGATCTTGACCTATTGCTGCGTTTTTTGTTCTCAAATGCCACTAACTTTAGCGGCGCAGGTATGGCCGACACTTTTTGCGACTTTTTTCTTATCGCCGTAAGTGCTTTTAACGGCGCTTAAAAACGCCGCTAAGACTCCATTTTGCTATAGTGATTAGAGGTGGAAATTGTTCTTTCCTTAGTGCATAGTCTATATAAATACAACCAAAACCTTTTGTAAGTGCATTTTCTCATTCCTTGAGATTCATTTTCTTAAGCATGAAAAAAAAAATGTACAATAGCAGAAATTGTGATAGCAATAAATAAATAAATAGCTTAATATAGAACAAAACATAAATAAAAATGAATCTCACATATTAAGTAAACAAATAAATTCAAAATAATGGCTAATTCCCATCACAAGATATCAAACACTACATTAATATCAAGTCTTTGGACAGTAATATTAAAAGTAAACAATACTCTTGTTGTGGTATTCAAACATTGAAAATAAGTTATGTTGAACAGAAGACTAATTTTTGGATTAATGAAATGCTCACATAAAATAAATACCTTATAATTGTCACATGTTATTATCACACGTGTAGCTTGAAATTCAACCAAATATTAACTTTCCTTTAGGCCAATTAATAAACGCAAGAATCAAAAGAAATACATAATCATCTTTATATTTTAAATAAATCAGTCTACACAAGAGAGGTCACTTTGGTGGCATTTTGTTTCAACAAATCTACTAAAATATCATACTTAGCCAAATATGAATTAATATGTTTCAAAATATATATTCTAAATAACCAACAATAAAAAAATGAAAAAAAACGAATTGAATATATACACATATTGCATTAACAATATAAATAAAACCATAGAAATATTGTCAACCAATCAATTTCTCGTAATTTTATCATTCAACTAAAAGATAACCAAAATAATAATAAATTTGAATACACTTAAACCTTATCTCAAGATACCAGATGCTTCAATTATATTTCATCTTTAGACAAAATATTCACCTTAAATGATATCTAGTGCTATAACCAAACATTGATAATAAGAACATGTCATTGAAAATCTTCCTTTGGGTCAATTTATTACTCTCACATCAAATCGAATAATTATCACATGCTTATATCAAAGTTGTACATGTGATTATGTCAACTATTAATCTTACTTTGGGTCGATCAATACTAACATATCCTAAGTTACATCTACAAAACCTTTAAAAAATATTTTTCGTAATTGAGGCATTTTAACGATTTATTGCTTGATTAAATCGTCTCAAAGCAAATATTAGTATTCAAAAAATTTCATTCCAAATACATATTCCATCATAACCAAATATCAAAAATAAAATCCATGATCAAACTGAATTGAATATATCAATACCAAATATATATTCTATAATTCATACTCAAAACCAAAATTAAATTTTATAATCACGTCATGATTTATGAAGTAACCCATAATAAGGTTGTCTAAATGAAATTATTAAAAACCGAAAACTTAAATAATTAACTATTCCTAAAGAATTTCTTAATCACAACAAAAAAAAAATGATTCAAACACATTAACTGAATACGAGAAGACAAAAGTGTGCTATACTTCATATCAAAATAAAACAGAAATGAAATCCTATTTTAACAACTAAGTAACGAATTTGCTTACCGTCAGAGTTCAGAACTGAGGCTACAGTCAACAATATTCAAGAATCAAAGATAATAATAACATAAAATTATAGAATAATTCTATGTTTTAAAGGGATCAGGACTATTAGAATAAGATTATCCTCAACAAAAAAATCCTTGCATAAACCTTAGAAATCTTTGTTACCATTGAACCCTAAACTCTGTAAAACCGTTGTAATTAAGAAGCCTTAGCCTAATAGAGTTCAAAACAATTCACAGTCAACAATATAATAAACATAAAATTATAGAATAATTCTATGTTTTAAAGGGATCAGGACTATTAGAATAAGATTATCCTCAACAAAAAAATCCTTGCATAAACCTTAGAAATCTTTGTTACCATTGAACCCTAAACTCTGTAAAACCGTTGTAATTAAGAAGCCTTAGCCTAATAAGTTCCATGAAATTATTAAAACACTTACTAGTGTTTTCTGCACGAGTTTTTAATCCATAGTTACAAAGATAAAAAGAACACAAAACATGATCAACTATACACACGCATGTAGTTGAGTATTAAAAATAAAAGCCAAATACTTTTAGTTAATGAATAAACAAACCCTGAATGTAGTTATCGCAGTATAACCAAACTAGGATTATTAAACTAATAATTTTAATCGTGAATCTTAAAACATGAATCTCGATTAAACCCTAAACGTCCAAATAATAAATTTGGAATTCCCGAACATCAAAACAAATATTAATGTAAAATTCATGATTAATAATGCCGAATACCAAAAACTTTTATAAAAAAAATTAATGTTATAAATCATAACCTTAGAATCAATTTATTATCAATGATTCACATGATGATGAGGTTGATACTAATTGTTAGAACCAAATCATAATAGATATAAAAATAACCAAGACCAAATCATCAAGAATAAAATACTAGATTTGATGAAGCGTATCTGAATTAATTGATAGGCTGAAATCTTTGAGTCTTTCTTTGGTTGTGATCTTTCAAGAAGATATGTTCTCTTGCATAAAAACTCTCTGACAGGGATAAGAGTAATACAAGTCAACCTATTTCTTGGAGAACCACTACCTCATATTGAATATTAGGTCAATCTTTTAAGTATTTATAATTATGCTCTCATCAGATTATAAATACAACTTATGATATCTACACTTTGATTCCATGACACTTTACTACATATAACACGTATAACATAATTGGTCACTTATTTATATAACATAATTGATCACTTATTTTTGTGTCATACTTTATGATAACATTGTACATTATACATATGTGCCCATAAATATGTATTTTAATCCAACAATGATCTTATTATAACATATTAATATTATATTATTATAAATTGAAATAATTTTTGTTATGAAATTTTATATCAATTTTATTATTTTGTATTTAATAAGTTTATAGTATGAAATTTTTAATAATTCTATT